TAGTCTCCTTGAGTTGAAAGTGCCCCCCCGCCCCAGGCTTTTTCTTTTCAGGATGCTGCCTTTCTGTTTGTAACAGAAATAATTTCTGTCCTACAGAAATAATACAAGACCTCCTTCACCCAGATTCTCCAACTGTTAACATTTTACTGAGTTCGCCTTATCATTCTCTTCTCTCTCTCTCTTTTCTGATCCACTTGAGAGCAAGTTGCAGACCCGATGCCCCTTTACCCAAATACCCGGTGTGCGTTTCCTAAGAGCAGGACGAGTCTCTCACACAGCCACAGACAAACTCGAAACCAGACGGTTCACACTGTTACACACTCTTGCACTCTTTATCTAATCTACGGGCTCAGTCAGATTTCATGTCCCCGTAATGTCCTTTCAGTACGTAAGCAAACAGATAATTTTCTCCTGCTCCAGTGTCCAGTCCAGGGTCACCCGCTGTCCTCAGCTGGCACGATTCTGATGTCTTCGTGGACGGGGGGCCAGTTGCTTTGGGGGAACGTCGCTCCGTTGGGCTGGGTGCGGGTCTCCCACCTGGGCACGAGGACTGAGGCGGGTGGTCCTTCCCCGTTTTATGAGACTGTCGTCCGTGGCCAGCTCCGTTCCCTCCTCCGTTCCCCATGTGATGTCACTGCCAGCTCTCCTTACTTGCCCCTCACCTGCTGGTGAGCCCAGGATCTGGCTCAGTCATCCTCCGCCCCCCACCAGGGGTTTGCTGAGTGTCTCCTCCACCCCCGGCCCTGGGCTGCTGTTGGGGACGCCTCTCTACACAGGCAGAAGGGTCCCTGACTCGTGGAGCTTGTGCCCAGGGGCCAAGTCCAGGCTCCTTCCTCCTAGCTGGGCCCCACGGCAGGCCAGGACTCCCCTGAGCCTCAGTTTCCTCATCTGTGAAGTGGGGACAGTCATCTTCCACCCTCACAGGGTGACCTCAGAGAGGAAATGACATGGTGCCAGGAAGGGACCCTTGGTGTCAGGCCAAAGTAGCCCTGGGCAGCATGGGGGTGGCTGCCAGTGCCCAGAGGGTCCCCATCCCCATGTGGGGTCTGACCACACCGAGCTCCAGGAGCT